ATTAGCTATCTCTTTGAGTTTTGCTTCCTTTCTTTGCTTATTAAGTCTCCGCTCTATCCGAACTTCCACATCATCAACATCATCACCATTATCATCACCAAGATCAACACCATCATCCACATCCTCATGCACATCCACATATGACTTTTCCGTTCCTTTGTAAATTTCATACATAAGATACAAGTGTGCTTTCACCCGACTCTTGAGGTGCTCAACTTCATTAAGAGTGTAGCCAAGCTCTTCTAATTGCAACTCCATCAATTGAAACTTATATCGTGGATCAAGGGTTTGGGCTACAAACATTAACATGTTCATATCTTCCAAAGAGCCCCAATATTTATCAAACTTCCTCTTCATAGAAGTAGTCACATTTTACAACACAATATTTTTCTTATCTCTAATTCTAGCCTCAATCTCAATCTTCAAGTTTATCAAGATTTTTAGAACAAGATGCGAGGTCGGAGTCTTGGTGGCACTAAGCTTGATGGTGGCATCATAGAACTTCTTGAGAAAATGTGCAAATCCCATAGCCTTTTCCCAATCTTCATCCGTCGGAGGCCCCACTCTTCCATCTTCAATGTATGTCTTAAATGGCGTAAATTCTTCCACCATCCTTGCAAATACAACTTTAAACTTGTAAACACCATGAAGCATGATATATGTGGCATTCCACCGAGTCACAACATCCATCGGGATAGTGGACATTTTGTCCTTCTTCTCTAAAACCGCATACTCCCGAAACTTATCCAACCTCGCACTTGAAGAATGAATGTACTTCACACAATTTCGGATGGCTTCAATGGAATCTACTAACTCTTTCATTCCATCCTTCACAATAAAGTTAATTATGTGATAAGCACACCTCATATGCAAGTTTTCATCAAGCATAAGACTATCACTATCATGCTTCCGGAGTTGCTTCTTCAAATACTCCACGGCCACATCATTGGAGCTCGCATTGTCAACGGTAACGGTAAACACCTTACTTATGCCCCATTCGACCAACTTCTCTTCGAGACACCTTCCTATGTCTTCATCCTTATGAGAAGTAATCTTACAAAAGTTGAGCACCCTCTTGTGTAAATGGAAATCCGAGTCGATAAAATGAGCCGTCACCACCATGTAATTGATATTTTGGATAGAGGTCCAAGTATCGGTTGTGATACTCACACGGAGATCATCAATGATGCTTTTGATCTTTGCTTTCTCATTGCAAAATAAACTCCAAACGCGCAATCTTCCTCTGATTAGGAATCTTATAACGAGGTTGAAGATCATGAATAAATTCTTTGAAGTCTGGTTGCTCTACGGTTCGAAAAGGCATCTCCGCTTTGATTATCCACTTCACACACATGTTGTCGAGTCTTTTTGGTTAAAGTCAGAAATTTTTATTTCACCTTCCATCATCGACTGAGTTAATGTGGGTTTTCATCACCACGCGAAGAGGAGAACTCTCACACCTATAATACAAAAAGTAAAGTTTGATTTAGCATTAAATTAACAGGAAAATATTTTAATGTTGAAGAAGAAAAAAAAAATAGTGATGGACCTGATGGTAGCATGAGAAAAGTTTGATTTAGCATTAAATTAAATTTTAATGTTGAACAGGAAAAAAAAAGTTGAGGAGAACTCACACCTATAATACAAATGATTGAGAAGGCCTCTAGTTCCATTCCTTTTTGAATCGGCCGACATTTGTAATTCACAATGTTTGCAAATAGCAAACATCTCCTCATTTCCTTCATCATCGTGAATAATTTTCCTAACACAATGATCCCAAGCAATGCTCCTCTGCTTTCTCTTTTTGGTATTGCCTTTTTGTGAAACATTCGTGTTTCTCGAGATTTCTTGAGTTTGAATATCTCCGTCTTTCATTTCAATGTCATTGACATTGGTGCTTAGAGCCGAATTACTCGAACTCACACTCTGACTCTCCATTCCTAATACAAAATCAAGTATATATATATATATATATCAAATTAAACCGGGAACATCGATAATAAATAAACACATACGGAGGGACAAATAATAACAATTAATGGCAGTGTGAAATAGAATCGAAATATAGAGGTTTTTTCGCTAATGACATTTATATTAGTTACTTTGTGGATAAACTAACTAAACCGTGAGAGGGTATTCTTTGAAAATGAAATCAGCTCGAACCAATTTAACTAACTGGCCAGACAGTAGTAAGAATAATTAAATCAGAACAAAAAGGAGACAAAGGAAAAGACCTCATCCTCCAAGCAACTGACTCCAACATTTCGCATACATAGCTAACAAACGAAATAAAGAGATCAACAGAAACAAAAATACAGAATATTAAACTTGTGCTTATCCTACTAAAAACATAAACAGTGGCAGTGTATTATAGAATCTAGATTTATAGAACAAAATAGATCAATGAATTTCACAGAACAACAAGAACAAAATACACTTCTAATCATAGAACAACAAGAAAAAAATACATCAACACTCTACAGAAATAAATCAATGAATTTCACACTCCTAATCAAATCAGAAAAATTTCCCTCCTCTACATGACTCCAACTGGCCATCAAAGACCCAAACTTCTCATCAACACTACTAAATCCTACTTATAAATCCTCCTCTTTTTTTGTTTTCCCAAGAAAAAAAAACCCTATATAAACACCATCACAATTCACAACACAAAATCTTTCCTCCCAACATCATGATGCAGTAGCAATCCTATCCCTCGCTTGCTCGGCATTGATCGACCTCACGCCATTCTCAGGCGCCACCTCATCGTCAAAAAGCTCGAACCTCAAATCCGAAATAAAACCCTCGTTCCTCATCTGAAATTATTGTTTTTGTTTTTGGGTTTGTGGGTTTATATTATTTCCGCTCTTTATCAAAGACCCAAGCTTGATTCTTGCAAATCGACACAGACTCTACGCAAGAACTAATCTTTTTTCTCTTTACACTTCAATTTTCATAAAAGCCAACAATTGGGAGGAAAGAAGATCACATTTTTGGAAGTAAGATAAGAATAAAATACCTGGTGCTTGGTGAGGCGGAGGCGGAGACGGATGGCACGGGTCTGCGACGGCGGATGTCGGATGGCACGGTGACGACACTAACGAGGCTGCCCTAATTTACTCTTGTTCGAAGAAGAAGAGGAATAACCGAATAAGTGATAGGTTAAGGTTTTCTCTTTTAACTTATATATATATATATATATATATATATATATAAATTAAGTTTTTTTTTATTAGCTTATCGGTTCGGTTCGGTTTTATCGAACTCTAATGGGTTCGGAATCGATACCAAACCAATAACTTATCGGTTACCGATACACATGAGTCGGTTTGGTTTGGTTTTTTAGCACATCGGTTCGGTTCGGTTTAGTTTCGGTCAAAAAGTACCAGCCCTATATGCAGCATCCGAATATAGAACACCACATCAACATGAGTTGTAGTCATTATTCCTACCATTTAACAGCTGCACATATGCTCAAAATATTTTCATACGGAAAAGTAAATAAGTCAACAAGCAGTTAACAACTGCATATTAGTTTTTTCACAAATCATGGTATGAAAACATGGGGTAACTAAAATTATAGTTCAAATTCACCTTCTAAATACACAACCATAGCTTTGTATCAGTAGAACAGCTATACCACCACAAGCCTGCAGAATTCTGTTCCACACCCATATACAAAGGTCAAAAGAATGTGGTTTTGAAAGTAGACACCAAGACATCCTACCAACAATTAGAAGCACATGACCAACAATCAAATGCCAATTCGGTATCATACACATATCACAAAATCACTTAATCAAGCATACTATGATATTTTAACACAAACAGAAATTCTCTGCGGCTTACTATTTCACGAGCTGCGTTTAGCACGCTTTAGCTTCTCAAGCTGGACCTGTGACTCCATGAAGACCATTCTCTGAATTTCCAAATCCTTTGCAAACTGCATTCTTTGTTTCTCCAGCTCCACCATATGCTGTTGCTTTGCCTCCTCAACTTTTTTGATATATATGCGCCAACCTCCCGATTGCCTCTGCCAATTTGCTATACCCGTCGCAGATGATGGTCTCCCCATCTTCCGAAGGCCCCTTCCTTTTTCTTCCCACTACTGCCAGGTGTCGACCCCATCTCTCATTCGTATCCCAATCATCGTCTTCCTCCTCATCTTTTTCAGGCTTCAGTGCCGCTGCTGCTGCTGCTGCTGCCATCACCGAGAAATTCCTCTCAATAAGGCTGTTGGGCCCTGCACGCTTTGATCTGGGCCCCACGGGCACGAACCATGGTAGCATCAGCAAGGGACTCGTGGCTAGATCTTTATCCGGGTTATGAACTACAGGCTCCAGAGGTGGAGACGAGGGTTCCGAAGAAGGTAAAACTCGCCGGCGAAGGATTCTAGAGTGTGCGTTGAGATTGGTGTTACTGGAGAAGGAGCCGCCGATGAGGGAGTCGAGGCTTTCAAAGTGGGGCCACGAGGAGACGTAGCAGCCTTGGGATTGGACTGATAGAAACTGTATTTAACTTTATTCGAAATAAATCGATATTAATCCCAAGAGCTTTCATATTGAATAATCGAGAATCATAACCGTAGCGGAAGCATACCTGAATGATTCATGTTGATTGATTAATTGAACAAGACGATTTCAGAAAGTCGACTGAGGGTAAGTCGACTTCCCTTAAGAACACGAGCAGGCGTTCCAAGAGCCCCGAATATACATATGTGACCTTGGGTTGACTCGTTAAGTTCCCAAGTCGACTTATGAGACCTCCGACGACTCATACTTCGACACTGAGGGAAAAACCTCCAAAGCTAGAGAATCTGTATGAGATAAGAATGAATCTAGATGATGACTCAGAGGTTGGCGGAATGCGAACCGACCAGGGCATTTTGGACACTTCGCGTAAGTCGGCCAGGGCATTTTAGGTATTTCCAGTAAGTGTTTCTACCCCTAGAAAAAGGAGCTGAGGTAACTCCAAACCCTAACTCTCTCATTCTCTACTCATTTTCCCAGCTGCTACTCCTATTGAGCAGAGCTCATACTCATCATCTTCACTGACTTGAGCGTCGGAGACTCTTCACCGGAAACGCCTCCGGTGTTGAGTTCTTGCAGGTGTTTGTAGCAGTTCGAGGACGATTTGGAGGCGATTCAAATAGATCGGAGCTCATTTCCACCAGTTCACTCTGGATCTAGGAGGAGACCCATCAAGTATTGAGACCCATCAACGGTTGAAAGTCACACTTGGGAATTCAGTGAACGACACAAATAGGTCGTACAACTGACAAAGCCTTCTTATTCAGTTACGCACATCTTCTGCGGTACACTTTGATTTACATTTGGTGCACAATGAATCAGAAATACTATGAATTAATTCATGTAGAACCTCAGGTTAACTAAAATTCCACCTCAAACAATACATGTGGAACAACAAAGCATTACATTTTTTTATCCAATGGTGATGCCCATTTACATTGATTGACTTTATCCCTAAAAGATTGGTAAGCCGAGTCTGCCATCTACTACGAGCAACACACACCACATAATCACTTGTATATTTCAATAAAAATCACAACATACTTCATATCTAAATATCATACACACATGAAAACATTATCAAGTTAAGCATCCACGAAAGCCATGAAGTAATCCACCAATACGAATACGTCATCCACCCAATCACAACAGACAAATAAAAGAAATAATAATCCTCCACAAGGCTTGTCAAAAGCAAAGTTATAAGAGTCTAAAGCCGCACATAATAGTGTTTTAGTTTCCAAAAAAGTACAGGCATCCTTGTTGCATCATTTTTACCATAACAACAACACCCCGCCTTATCGTGAAATTAGAGTGCGTAATTTCGCAAAGTCTTTTAAAAATAAAATCTTTTAATTTACGAAAACTGATTCGGGGTGCCACCATAAAATGTGACTTATTCTGAAAAACCATTATTTTAATTTTTAGCAAAATCTACGGTTTACTGAAAGCATTAATTATCTGAAAGTCTGATCAAAAGATAAGTTCGTCAAAACATCGAGATCAGCGGAAACGTAGCGTCATCAAAATATATACAATCACATGCATAAAAGTCCTGAATCATCCGTCATCTCACACCCCCGGCCCGACATCCTGACCTGAAAAACATGATAAAAGTGGGTCGTGAGCACTATAACACTGTGCTCCGTGGAAACTCATACTAAAGTAAACAGTGAATATAATGACAATATCGTGATCCTGGTATATACTTAACCTGAACATGAAACCGGTAATAACATGAACATGAACCTGATATCATCACGTGAACGTGAACCATGACCGTTACCTCATCTGCCAGCATAAAATGTCGGACACCATGTGCACACTCTAGTGGGGCAGACTAAGGCCACTAGAACCCAGAATGGACCGGCGACCATTCCGAGCGGATACATGACATGAAATACATACCTCAAACATGGTACCGTAATTATAATCAATGTAGTACTTAGTCTGAGTCCCCACCTGATCCGTGAAACTGAAGGTAGTGCTGATGCCTGATCAAACTGAAATATAATATAAACAATTACTACTGATGTTGGAAAAATCAGTTGTAAAGCTTGGGTTTGACCCGGTTTTGACTGAATTTTTGATGGCTAAATATTTAATTTTAGT